GAGTAAAAATTACTTATATCTAGTTCTTAAGATGCCCAATATTGAATATGATATCGCAAAACACAAGAAGTACTTGCACCTGATACGGACTATATCTGAATAGCTGAAACTGGTTAAGCATATATCACATGGTTTAGGGTCTAGTTAACATTGTTTGTGTGAGCAATAAGTAATTTTCATATAAAGCCTAGCTCGTAAGAATTTTTGGCATCAGTTAACAAACTCGGAAATGGGTGTTTATACCACGACTATAATTTCCAATTCAAATTCGACTAATATGACCTTTTTCCGTTACTTTAATAGGTAATTCAATATGTAACCGCTTTTTCACCATGTAAAACTGTTTGAACAAGCAGTTTCATATGACAGTAGACGCCTGTTGCAATATCGCCACTTTTTACAATCAGTCGCTTTATAGCCAGAACATCCTCTGAAGGAGTAACAAATCGGTATACTTTAAACGTTAATATTCAGTTTTATTACATCCATGACATTTTCTTTTCATTAAATGCCATCAGATTAAGTACTTTGCTGTTTCATCATGATTAAATAAAGATGCATTTGAGGTTTAGATCAAAAAGTAGGGCCAATTAGTCATAATGATAATAGCGGGTATAACAACTCAATAAGAAAACAACTTCGCACCGGTCACCAGCCATGTGGTCTAAACCCAGCGGTCGACCTTGGCAAATGACAGTATCTAGTGTAACACTTATTATGTGTCGCTAAACAAAAATGAGTAATTAGGATTCGGTATTGCGGTGTTCACCGATTTTTTTCCTAACTACTTTTATTATCTTTCACTTTCAGTCCACCTTACGACAGTTATTCATCAAAGTCTAAATAAAGGTGTTTAAGTTAGTATTTATTGGTATTTTATGTTGTTCCTCTTATTATAGTTATATGGACTTCTTCATGATACACCAGATTCTTATGTTGATCATCATCTTTGTATGTTCTCTCAGCCACAGAAGAAACTACATAAAATGAACAAAAATTTTAATAAATACTGATGAGGTATCACCTACACCACTTTCCAGAGTAGATTCTTCATGTACCACTAAAGATAAATCCATGTGTCTATCAAAGAATACGCGGAAAAAATCGTTTACTTTAGGGGACAAGACCGGACTAAATACATCCCTCAAACCTTGTAGCTAGAAAAAAATAAAGCCACAGAAAATGACGGTCAGGGGTAGTAATATATTAGAGAATGTAGAAAAATACGAGACTGTTACTCTGAATATCTAAGTCATGAGAGACATCTTACACTGGCTTTGTTGGAGCTCAACAACCATGCTTGCTTAGTAACTCTCATTTAGAACTGTCCATTGAAATAAGAAATGGTTAGCATTAGTGAGTGTCGGCATTGAGGATCTTCACTTTAGTTCATCTCTTAGTACTACGAAAGTAGTCGATATGATAAAAGTATTTAGGAAAGTAAGAAAAGCAATGTGTGGCATATCAACCGACAGAATATAATTACCTCTCCACAATCTAAACGTGCCCAGGATTTTACAAAGTTCTGCGTAAAATTCATTCGTGATATAAATGCGAACTGGGGCCTTTCCAAACCAAGTCTTTCAGACAAATAAACAGTTTCGTAATATTAAAGAGTTGTTTTGAAGTGTCTTCTTTTACAGTACTAACCAGTAACTGTAGCTGGAGGACAATGCAAACAAATGAAATGGCAATAATTGGACGAATATTGGTTGACAGATGTCCAACCATTTGTCTCAACCGACTTTGTAGGTGTGAAAGTATAATGCATGCATACACTAAAATCTATTATGACTCTGAACTCACGACGCTGTTTTGATGTAATCATACAGAGTCACTGTTATGGTTTCCTAAGTAGTGAGATTTTCAACCATCAAATAAGAAACATTGATTCGTTCTTATCATACCTATGTCAGAACTCGAGAAATATTTTCAATAAGCGTGGGTTTCATTTTTTAAAATCCCAGTTCGTTTTGCAAACTTTCTGGATCGATTTCTCCATACAACCATACTTGGAAGACATTGTTATACTTAAAGTCTTACACGAGAGTCATAGAAAATGTGTTATTTGAACAATTTGAATTTTTCAGAACGCATTTATAAGGTACATGAGACAGTAACCAATAATGTAATTAGTTAGTGTCGCTGAAATAAGGTAATAATTACATTTTATATTCGTTTATAATATGTAATTACATCGCAAAACTCATCATGTTGGCAAATTTGTTGTTTATGGACGGTTTATGTTGATTTTGTCAATTATCCATCAATTAGTGGGTGATGCAGCTCAGTTTACTGGATCAAAGTCTGACCGTTAATTAGCGTAAATCAAATGAAAATTGTCGTATTCAGATGTCACTGTGATTTACTTTAAATGTCCAATAAAGCGTTACTACTGTCCTCATGTTTTTGATTTTCTCATCAAACTCTCGATTTCCGGTATCAAGCACCAAGCCAGTTGAATACTCCACAAACATAATAATGGTGATTGGTCGCTGTCATAATCCATCCACTCATCATAACGACTGATCATCACGTCTATCCAGTCAATACAGTGATAGAACCTTGCTATTGTATTTGTAGAATTCTCAAATGGCTTGGTGCCTGATAATAGTCTCTCAACGATATGCTCTTGTTCATCGAGTTAAGCCAGTTTTGTTCACTCATTCACGAACACTGGCATTTTCATAATACCATAGCATAGTTTATCGACTAAATGCCTAATCTAAAAGATCTTACGTAGAAGTCACATAATCGTCTACACCAGTTCATTGCTTCGCAACAACCGCCAATATATGATGGAGAACGAGCTTATGCCAGAGACAGAACAATATATTTAAAATGAATAAGGGAGGATTGTGTGGTTAGGACCCAATGCCACTACAGATTTACAATAAAAAAATACAACTTCGGGCATTTCATTTTCACGGTCACTATTCTGTGCTTCTGGTCCCCCTACTAATACATATTCAACAGGAATCCATTTACTGAGAAGCGGTAAATAAATCCTTATAATAAATAGCTATATAAGCCTTCAGAGTTGATTCTGACTTCATTGGTTTTATTGAACATATCCTAGCTGAAGATTTCCGATCGTACATCCTCACTAAATAACGAGTATGTCCTGCTACGCATCCGTTGTGACTACTAACCAGCACAGATAATACTCATCCTAACACATCTTCGAACTCCTTGTTTTATAACTTCTGGTTTGACTGAGTTGACATCCTATTTATAGAAACCTCATGCCATCTGTGAAGGAAACTTGTAAACACCACCCACCCTGGATTAACCCCCCTCTTTTGACCTCTGACCTGTTTCTAGCATATATATATATATAGTTATTATTGTAATCACGTTATTTAAACTCATTTATGTCAATTGTTTCACACTATCTCCATGTAAAAATTCTATCACAATTTTGGTTTGTAAGCAGCTGACGAGAAACCTCGAAATAATATGAATTCATACTATTCTGCATCAATGTTTGTTCTTGCTCTATTTTAACTTGTAAACAATTTGTTTAACAAGTTTACTTGTTTTTAAGCAGGGAAATACGGAGACAATTGTCTTTCATTGGGATCATAGCCCAATGTTAGATCACCATTAAAAAGCTGTAAGCACTGGATTGCTATATGGGACCTTTCAACAGTGCGCAACTATGACACCTCCACAAGGAACCGGACCCAGGACCTAGTTTCTCGCTCGCGAACATTAACTTCTATACCAACAGGTCGAGATCAAATGATGTTAATGTCAATCCACGATATTGCACGACCATCTTCCATTGTCTTCAGTGGATAACTCCCTGACACACAACAAGACTTAATTATTTGTTAATGACTTTTTGTTTGCTCGTCTGCGACTATTCACTTCATTCTATTCAAGATTATCATTACTAATCTTTGAAGTTTATTAAAATGTTAAACATATATGTACTGAAATATTTTGTCATGCATCATTACATGCACATTCGCATAAAAATGACATTTTAGCATTGTTCAATACTGATATCATGTTCATGTCACTCCCTCTTACAACATTTGATTTATATAATTGACATTAAAACACGGGTCATATTTATTTTATGCTTTCAACTAAATTATTTTATCAACGTTTTGAAGTGTTATAACGGAACAGATTTTGCAGTAATTAAAAATGACTTTCTAAATTAATAATAATTATAACTTCGTTGTATAATTACTGAGATACCAGGTTATTATGTATACATTCTGTTGGATCAATGACTACTGTCATACGATTTATTATTCCTAATTTCTTACCAGTCCATTACTAACAATCTCCACTATTCACAGACACTTCTGACTTGTTGGTATATAATTGTCAATAGTTCTGATCGGGTGTGTGTGTGACTGACCACGTTGGAGACACTGAGCTATATAGTGAGCATTAGACCAAATTATAACCACAATTCTGATTGGTGTCTTGTCTCTTGATTTGGTCAGAACGTCCACAAGACATAATATGAAGTAACGTTATTTGGATGCTTATCACATTCAACTTTTTGTGGTTTATTATTCGGTGTATTTCTTGAGCAGTGACACTTTACATGTATATATTGCTCCAGGTAAAAAGTTAAATGTAGTGACATATTTATGCTCGGATCGGATCGTAAATCAATGTGACGTGCAAATAACTGTGTGACATTATATGACCTTTGTATTTTTTAAATTGTAACGTTATTGCTTTCATTGTATGGATCCATGCCTATCTCCATTTACCCATATTGCTCTTTAACTGTTTTAATAAAATTATTTCACGGAATCAGTGTAAAGCTGGCCTCCAACTTGCATCTATTCGATGTCCATCTTCACTCGTTAAGTTTCTTTGCTAGCATGAATATCCGAAGTATACATGTCTTATAATAAATATATTTTTGCTATATCCCAATGAGTAGAAAAGTTGTATTTCTGCGCAAATAAATAACGGGTTATTTATTTACGCTGAAGAAATGGCTTACATTAAGTCACGAAACGTCAGAAATACAACTTTTCTACTCATTAGGATATAGCAAAAATATATTTATTATTAACTTTCTACCCAAACCTCATTCTATTTGAAACTATCAAATTCAACCATGGCACTGATACTTTATACTTGTCATAGATACAACCTGACGTTTTATTTCTACATTGTATGAATGTGATTAGCTAAATAGTTCATACACCTCAGTAGCACCACTGTCGTCCAGTTATATTAGAGTCACATACAGGTATTAAATTGTCAACCACTTCTGAATCCAATAGCCATGAAATAAACCACAGAACATGTAGTCGTAATTTTAATGTTAGATTATATTTGTATTTCCACAAGTCAAATACATTATATTTATCTTTAACAATGATAGTAATACAAAAGGGAAATCAAAAACGTTCCTACATCTTACATTCATTGATTGCATACATATATTTTTCAAATTCGTGGTATTTCACCTTTGGACCAGTCGAAATATGATTCTAGTTTACTTTGCCGTCTTATATCGCACGTCCAACAATGAAACCCTCCTCCAATCGAATTTGCATATTTAAATTTTACATTGATTGGTTTAATTCCTATACTTTTGTACATTTCTTGAATCCCTGTCTCTTCAGATTCTACAATTACTCTATTCTGATCTAACATCAAGACATTCATTGATAACCAGTTGGAACCAAGCCACATTTCATGATCTATATGTTAGAAAATAAAAAGTAGGGAATTATTTTACATTACAAATTCCTTTATTTTAACAGGTTATACTCAATATTTTAAAATTTTCTCACTGACAGGGAAGATGGCAGATTGAAACCGGTTACTAGAAAATAATTACTATATATTACTCTTGCACAGTGCACCTCGTCAGTACAGATCATGTATGTTTTGTATTTCGGTCCTCAGATGCTATCTATAAATCACATAAAGTGTAAAGGCTATTTGATGGGTCCTCCATAAAGTCAACTTGATTGACAGAAAACTAATTGATTTGCACACAAAACATCAGAATAAGAAAGACAGATACTTTTCAAAGCAAATCAATCTATTATTTAATACCAAATAAAGTAATGAATATTACAATTATTCGTCAATGAAACATGATTACTAACCTATGTCTGCAGGTCGCTTCTACACCGTACACAATTTTCGTATCTACTGATTCTGCTATTTATTTCTTTATCTACTTTCATTTTAGTACACCGTGTAGGTATCCCATTTCTAAAAACCTTAGATATATGTGTATTGGCAACACTTGTTTATTTAGCCTTCAAATAAAAGGAGATAGGGAATTTTTCCGTCCGAGATAACCATTTACTCTCAGATTAGCTACAGCTGGGTGAATGAGGGGATTGAGTATTGTGAAACATTTTAAGAATAGTAATTATTCTCTGTTATTAAACCATAATAATAAATTTAAGATATATTCAAATAATAAATACTGAAAATAAAAATGTAGTGATATTAACTGTTAAATTAACCTATTACTTTGGTACAAGTTTCTGTATTCACTTATAAAAGACACTAATGTTTGATAGCTAATGTTAGTACGCATTTTCAATCGTAGCTTAACATGTCATCTACTGATTGAAAATCAAGTCTGTGAACTGTTAAGATATCATTCTATCTAGCCAATCTACATTCATCAATCGTCATACTTGTTTACTGCTAACCGTTTACAATTTAAATACCTCCCGATATTTCAGTAACTACATTCGGTCGATTTAGCATGTATTAGTACTCACCTTTTTTCATTAATGGTTGTGGTGCGTCGATAACTTGCCAACCGGCTTTTCTGATAAAATCAACTTGATGACATGGACGATCAGGGTTTTGAATAGCTATACCAGGTTTAACTAAAGTAAAAGTTGCATCAATATGCATTGGTCTTGGATCAACAAATGAAAGCCTATGAACTTTTATACCACGAGGCTCTAAATGTCTTCTAACCCATTCGATTCCTGATAAATTTGTGACCTAACAAGAATAAAGATCAAAGTAATTATAATATATCACTCGAAATCATAAGGATAATTACTTATTGTAGGATAAGATCATAAAAGATAAATTAAATATAAGCAATAAAACCGTCTACTTCACCTAATAGATATTTTTAACCAAACCAATTTGATTTGAATGGGGATTGTTTCTCTAGTTGCATAATTAAACGTATAAAAGTATTCCAAAAAGAAATTATTTAACAATTCTATAGTTCTACTCTTCCTGAACTTCTCTCAGGCAACGAAAGAACTATAGGTACTTAAAAGTGTGGTTGGTATTCACAACACTTAGTAGTACAATGAAATGAAGCTGATAGATTAATATGAATAATTGGGAAAGATAGGACTTTTAGAATCGTCTTACTAAGAGCTGTAATAACTGTTCTTATTACTTAATTATTGAATATTAAGGTTTTTGTATTTTCGTATAACTCTTGTTGTAAGCTTTCATTTCATTTATTAACTATTGTTATATATTTTGCCGTTCTTCAATTATCGTTAATTTATCAAAAACGTATTGTGCAGTTTTTAGCTTAATCATGTACATATTTTAATTTCTTATTTGTGGAGTGTTATCATCATGTTATTGTAATATATCATTCTGTGGATTTTTTTTTAGTCAGCAAGATGATGAGAAAATACAGCAATAAGGTGAATACTAACTTGTTATCTCCATCTTTTTACTAACTGTTGAGGACAGAAGGAAATGTATGGACCAATAGGAGTTAAAGGGGTTCTGGTTATTGTGGGAGGTCAGTTGTGTTATTGATTTTGAAGAAAGCTACTGATTTGATCAGCGTATGAGCACTTGCAACTAATGAACTATCTAATTTTATCACCTAAGTAAATGGAATTTTAAGAGATTGAAGGTCATAACAAAAACATATAGGAAATTCATTTCTTATGGCAACTAATGTTTTCACACGGCTAAACAGAATCTGATTGCCATTTCTATACACCTTTAATTTATTTTACGGTAAGCCTATCAAGCTCAATCGAGAATTCTTTATTTGATATGTAGCAACTTTAGTTAGATAGGCTTGATTTTAATGAAATCGTAAACTGTTAAAGATTATACAACTTCGTATATTGTATTATTGACAATGCTAAGAAAGTACATCCATTCAATTGATGATTGTCACATACAAAACTGATTGAACTCCGATGTTAGCTGTTGTTCAAAGTACAATGTAATATGTTAATGTTTAACTTTATTTATTTATTCAGAATAGCAAGACACTATCTTTTTTATAAGTCTTTTGTATTAGTTGTTTAAATAGTCTAATTAATGGCGATGACTGTAATTTGTCACTATCTTTTTGGCATATGTGCATCCTCTGCGGATTGCCTCGATAGTGCTATCAAGTCAATAAGCATCATGAACAGTGAACATCAACTCTGGGTTGCAAGTACATCCGGCTGATTAGTCCCAAACAGGACAAAACGCGCGTCGTGAATTCTACTGCTAGCCACTATCCATCTCTGCTTAGTTTCTCTATAATTTATTAATATTATACTAGTAAGTAAAGTTGGGGTATATTCTTAATAAGAATATTAGAAAGAAGTCAAGGTTAACTTGACAAACTCTTTCTTGTCTATTTGTCTAGAAAACTCAACTTGTTTATTTTCTTTTTATAATTCATTTTACATTTCAACAACAACCATCGTTTTAAATGTTAATGACTTCACGTTCTTTACAAAAATTCAAAAACATTGGAAAATTTAAAAGGTTTATTTATTCAATTTGAGAACTAATTGAAGATATAGACCTTCAAGTTATTTTAAACCTGGAATAAATAGTTATTTATTACATATGATTACGTCTTGATTGTCAATTGTGAACCGCTTCTGAATGAAAAATTAAGGTAATTCAGCAAAAAACTCTTTTTTTAAGATTATTTCATTCAATTAAAGCTGTACAATCACATTTATAGTGATTTAATGAAATTATGAGTCTATAGAAGAATAGAAAGAGATTAATTCATAAAGTGTCTAGATATGTCAAGTATCAAAAGAAGGTAACGTTATGCTTTTGAGGTGAAAGAAAATAGGTAAATAAAAATAACTTACGGGTCAGAAACATACGAGATAATTGCCTACTTGACAGAAATGAAGAACAAATAAAAAAGTAAAGATGATAATAACAATTGAATAACAGTTCTGAAAATTCCTAAGAAGGTAGTAATAACTGAATACTGACTAAAAAGTAAAACATATGAAGACTATAAGATACTTGAAGGTGTGAAGTCTTGTAGACCGTCTGACTAATATCATATAACAAGACACCAATTAGAATTGTGGTTATAATTTGGTCTAATACTCACTATATAGCTCAGTGTCTCCAACGTGGTCAGTCACACACACACCCGATCAGAACTATTGACAATTATATACCAACAAGTCAGAAGTGTCTGTGAATAGTGGAGATTGTTAGTAATAGACTGGTAAGAAATTAGGAATAATAAATCGTATGACAGTAGTTATTGATCCAACAGAATCTTTCGATGATGAAAAATGTATACATAATAACCTAGTATCTCAATAATTATACAAAGAAATTATAATTAAAAATAATTTGAAAAATCAGTTTCAACTACTACAATACCTGTTCCGTCATGATTTAAGAGATATTAGGGCTACAAAAAAATGAGTGATTGACCCTGTTGCTTTCAGACGTAGAGTTCAGTACTGAATAGGTGAATTGTCAAAGCCTTAGGAGTTCACAAGTTTTCGATTCGACCTTCCTTTGGTCACTCTCGTTTGATTGTGTGGAGTATTTTGAAAGGTGGTTATGGAGGAAGGAAGTTGATGGGATCTTTTTGTATTGAGCTGTTAATTATTTTACCTTCCCTCATATTTCCTACCACTAAATTATTTTTCGTTTTCCCATTTTCATTTCACATCAAGATCATTACGTTACGTTCTTTTGATATTTGACATATCGAAACACTTTATGAATTGATCTCCTATTATTCCACTATTTTATTTAGTAATATCGTTGACAAGAAATTTGTTCTACTGAATATGAGTTTATTGTTTAATGACGTAATGGGTTTTTCGTTTGTTGATACTGTCTACGAAAAATAATATTCGATTTAGTGAAAAAAAAACACAATATATGGTATGAATACTTAATGTTCATATCCATTCATTTGGAAAAGAAAATTCATTAAATGACAAGAAAAAAACAAATACTTACTTGACTTCTTTGTGCAAAAATATCTCGTCCAGCACGTATAAAGTCAGCAGCATCAAAGCATGGTTCACTTTCTGTTGTCACTTTTCCATAATCTGGATTATGTTCATCACTGAGACCTACATTAATAGGTTCATCCTAGGTAAATGTTGATAGGCAAAATTAAAAAAAAATTATTGTAACAGTTGTTAAGTCATCAATCAAACGTTTGAATGTTTCATTAAACTGATATCCGAAGTTTTACAATTAAGTCATTGGCTGGCATTATTCATGAAATATATTGATAAACTTCGAAGGAATATATATAAATGTATAAATGTTTAAGCTAAATTCTGCATATTCCTTATTCAAACTTAATTTGGTGAAATATTTCTAGTGGTATTTGTTTGCTTCTAATAAAAGCATTATTATGTAAACAATGAAACTACATTGAATGGTGTAATTTTCTTTACTTGAAATAATACTAATAATCCTGTGCTTTAGATTTTACGTATTTCTGGAATTACGCAGCACTTAGTTTTGTTGAAAAACGGATTTAAGTGAAACATCATAAGTACGCTGTGGCCCGTTATTTTAATGCCAATTAGATCGGACGATGTTGTCCACAGGCTCACCACTTTAGTAATCTTATATCTGATTCCAAATGGATCGTAAAAATGATTGTTATTGAAATATACATGTCGTCAATCCTCGTATATAATTATCGACTTAACTTGCTTAAGGGGATAACGGAATCAAGTAAGTCAAATACGAGAATGAATTCCGAATACATGTATTTTATATAATCGTTGATCCACATAAGCGAAGAGAAGAGAGCGAAGCGAAATGATGCGCAGTGGAGAAATCATGTAAGTCAACTCAATTTAATCAAGTGTTAAATAGATGTTGATAGTCAGACAAATATAAGTTACAAACATGTGATGAATAGAATAAAAAGTGAACACATTTACGCTTACATAAAAACAGTCAAGGTTGATAAGCAAACAATTAAAAAAGCCAAAATGTGACTCAAGAAGAATGAATAGATTGGTCTGTCCGAAAGCTAGAACAAGTTATGTGGGCTTAGCATAGCAACAGACACTACAACGTCATCTTTCTATTCTTAAGGCCGAATGAACATCAATATAGTGGCATATCAGAGTAGATGTATAGTGAAAACAAATATGCTTAAATACACACACATATACACACGAGTAACAGAAGCGAATAAAGAATATCTAGTCCTCCAGGAAACGTTTATCAAATACCATATTTTTATATTCTGTTCATCAATCAATCAGAAATATTGAAGTATGTAAATCAACTTGGTTGTGGTTTTTAATTTAATCTCCAATATTCTTAAATTTGATTATTTATCATGGGACAAGAATAATGAAAATTAGTTTTTTTTAAATATTTTAATAACATTAAATGAAATCAACTCTATTGCAAATTTATTTATCCCAGTTGATCATTTATCATATTTGCTTCATGTGATCAAATATAAGATCAATTAAACATTTCATTTGCATCACGAGACAAGAGTTAACTTAGAATCCTGAAGGGAAACGCAAAAAAAGAGGAAAACTAAGGAACAAACTGTGTCAAGAATTGGTAGCAGACATGAAAAGGATGAATAGAACTTGGAAATAAATAATTGAGGAAGAGAACGAAGGACAAAGTTGAATGGAGAATGCTGATAGGTGGTCTTATAGCGACTCACGTGCAAATGAGTTTAGTCTCATTTAGCGGACAAAGTCATCCGCACTATAACAACTTATTGTACCCTTATTATTTTGTGCTTGTATGAAATACGTATGCTTGAATATTGCTTACGGCCTACGCATTTATTCACTCTGCTAGTCTTACTACCAACTGATTATTTGATTCGATTACTCATTCATTTCACATGCTATATATATGTCCATGTTATTCATATTCACACACTCACACACTCTCGTCTCGTTCTTGCTCTGGCTCTCGCTCGCTTGCTTGCCTTTCGGCACAACTCTTCTATGCTTGTTTAACTCATCTGTACATTTGGATATATGTGTGTGGTCTCGTAATAAACGTAATCAACACTTCGTATTTGCCTTCTGGTTAATAAACCGTTGGGACGTTATATAGAACGGTTATCAAGACGAACTGTATACGAAGTTTATTGATTATATCGAATACCGACCACCACAGTCTATACTCCTCCATGAGAGGTAACAGGCGTAAGTAAACGTAAACATTTCGTTATTTTTATTTAACTAACAAATTCAATCTAATTTGTATACGAACAGACTTGAGTTTAGAAGAAAATTAAAAAAGAAATGTCATTTGTTTTGATTGACGACTGAATTAATTAAAATAAGTGTTATTCCTTCTTACAGTTTCCTTTTTTTTCTTATTTCTATGACATCATTTCAGTGAAATTTATTTACAGATATATGGGTAAATGGATTCTAACACAAACTTTAATACAGAATTTAATCAAGTGGTTTTACAGATTTATTTAATTCGAAGATAATTAGTTGTTAGTAATAGTCTGAGACCTCTGGAAGAATAGATTAGACCAAGTGGTTAGTATTGAACAGTTACTTCGTTCTATTTTGATGCTCGAGATTAGTAAATATTTACGATCGAAAATATCTATTCTGCTAGTATGACTTTTTCATACAGTTTCTATTTTGTTTTTCTCATATTCTTGTAAACTCCTCATCTTATGATGAAGCAACATTATCTTTTATAGTATTCCTGAATGATGACTCACATTACTCATGAAGTTTGGATTCAAATTTCATTACAATTCCACCTAAATGATTTACTGTTTTCTGATGACCAAATCAGTTCCTTGTCCGTAAGTATGTTAGGATTTTGAACCAAGTAAAAGTAGAAGCCTATATGGAGCGATATTTGGTTAATTATTATGTAGTGATCAATTTCTAATAGTGCTGACTGTATTCTGTTTAACAAGTCGCAATTCGGCCACTAGTCTAAGTGACTTGACATCGCGTGTACTGTGGTGAAATGTCAGTGGGTAGAAGTTGGTTGACAAGAAACTTTGAATCTAGCTTTTTAATACTCACTAGTTAGCTTATCGGTAGAATTCGATCAACACTAAACAGACTAGATAAATATGACAGTGACCACTACTCAGTCCTACTAGAAGCCAGTATCAGTATGAATAGATCAGTGGTAAAACCTCACATCGTGAAGCTCTAAAACATGTGATTGAGTACACTAGGTAGCATCAGCTTCCTCACGATTGCAAGTACACGTTGTTGACAAGTGGCAAGTGGTATGGAATCTGGGTGCAAAGTTTCCTGCCAAATACCTTCAACCACCAAATGTCTTGAATATTTTTAGTGAGAAATCATTGACGTACTCGGCGATTCAATTGTATTCAGTGAATATTGTCGTACTAATTGTGTTTAAGTTTAATTCAATCAATAACATGAAGTATCAATTAGTTTAAATGAATTTTCGTCAAAACGTTGACAAATTGTTTTATTTACTTTTCTCCTATATTATACAGAAGAAAGTAAATATAAATTGCGTTTAAAAAACTCTCCATGATAAAGACTAGTTATTTTTGATAGTTCACATGTCGGTTTCATCTACATGGCTTAAAAAAAGAAGGATTTATTGATATCGGAACTTTAGTTTCATAAATACAGATAAAAAAAATACAATGAGTGATGTAAACAAAGTCGTGTTTGTCCTGTTGGTGACCGATTAAGTTTCAATAAGGTTCCTACGTAGTTACTAGTTTAAACAGCTTGATATTAACTACACTTTATTATATTTCAGATATATTTTTGTGAAAAGTTTCATCTAGCACCTCATACAGGTTGATGACTTCATACAGATTACCTAAAACCACCTAACACAAAAAAACTTTTTTTTGATTGAGATCATGAATCAATTGATGTAAGACCACCGTTGGAAACCTGGAAGCATTGGACGGCCGTTTCGTCCTAGTACGGGACTCCTCAGCAGTGCGCATCCACGATCCCGCCCCCCGAGAGATTCGAACCCAGGACCTATCGGTCTCGCTCCAAGCGCTTAACCAACTAGATCACTGAGCCGGCATCCAATAATGTTAGTGTCTAACATCAACCAATCCACGAAATGATTATTTCGTTTTATTCGTCATAAAATAATTTCAGCCGAGGTATAAGTGAAAATCAAGAGGTACCATATAGCAGTTTTGTCCAAATATAAGACTCTTCGAATCTGTGCATCTGTGGCCATGTAAAGGATTGAATTCAGGTCCTTTAATTCTCATGGAGAGCACTGGACGGTTATAGTTGCACGGCCCACCTCCAATGGCACATATTTCGGAAATCAATTAATTTGTATCAAACTGAGATGATTATCCAATTTGATTAATGACAACTGTTTCATTCCCAACATATCTGAGCAAAACTAACCACTACTTTTAACTACAATGAGACAGGTAACTATTACTCTCTGGTTTACAATAATATTTTGAGTAAGACCAGTCTTTAGAAAATAAAATCTGCACAGAAATCATATCGGTCAAAATTAGGAGTTTAAAAAATGTAGACTGGTTGATTACAGTGATAAACGTAACACGAAAAATCCAGACTCTTCAATCAGTCATAGAATCAGCTGCTTGGTGAAAATGAAGACAGAATGACTGTCTATAGTAAAACATTTGTACAGCATTCATTTAAATATCAAACGCATTGGTAAATAGGCATTCCATATATTTTAAAACTGATGGGAACTCATTTTCTTCTTCTGGCTCTACTCTTCAATCGTCATTCTCAAGTTACTTCTTGTAGGACTACTCCAAGTATTTTTAATGACTACTATAGTGCAATTTGTGATACTGCTATCTGGCAATCACTGCTATAATCGTTTTGACTACTTCATTCAGTAAAATAATTTCTCTATTTTTCAGGGACATGAAGTTTATCAAGGTTAAGTACAAATCTCATTATTTTGTACCAACAAATACAAAATCTTATTCCGTATCTTTTTGCTAAACAACCTTTAACTATCAAATGAAGTTCAACGCGATGACAAATAAATGGCTTATCCACTTCATCGAGTGGACGATAGTCCAGTTTTAATAAAAGATTCGGTCTAGAGGAAAAACATTTCTTTACTGAATGAGGTTCTTTCCGAAACAATAATGACTGTAGATAGGAATTGTTGATAACTCACTCTTATTAATTTGGAAAAATTAGTTGGCTTAGGTCCAATTGTCCATTTGGCTCCTTGTCTCCAATAATTTAAAGCAAGTGGTCTATAGGCCAAATATTCGAAATATCTTGATCTCCAAGTCATTGTCGCTTCGATTATTTCATCACCGACAATTAATAAGAAATCTCTTGGCATAGCAGCATAGAAGCCTGAATACAAAAGTTTGGGTATAGAAAATAGGCAGTGAGTGAAGAAAAAAATCAAAGTTTCAGTAGTCAGTTACAGGAATTGACAAAACCATCCAGCTCAGAGAACAAAACTCCACCAAAAGGTTTCAATGTTTTGCATTCGATAAAATAAACTCAGTGAGTAGATTATTTGCTTTTTTAAAAGTTGTTAGAAGTGAATATGAGCGTTTATGGAAGACAAATAAATAGAAAGTTAGAATGGCGAGTGAAGAATATTTAATTGGAAGATTATTTTCATCATCGAGTGATGTTAATTGAAGATCTATTGAAAATTAGAAAAGACAAGGCATCTGTTTCTGATTTGTCGGTGAAAATAAACATACTTTTTTGTTTGATTGTTTGGGGTCCCTGATATCGGACTGAAGAATAGGAGAGTAGATGTACTGATCTAGTTCCAGTATTTATTAACTCGTATAGACTGTCCGTCTGTCTAGTAACAATAACCTTCTGTGAACCAACGATACGATAAAAGTGAAATAACAGTTGAGATTAACACTAAACAACCAAATAATTCAACAAACAGTCAACTTCTAACTATACAGTTCGAATTCACCAACCACACATACAATAATATAGAGCCTAATCCTGACCGCACATCAACAGAACTAAGAAATTACGTTATGGGTATAACTGCGTCATGGGTGGAAAAGAACTGACTAATAGACCCGTAATAAATTAACAGTAATTTAGGAATGATAAAACACACAACAATGATTTATGTGTTAGACAAGAGCTTATAAATAGGAGAATACAAGAATATAATAGTTTAAGTATTTAATAATTCTACAACGAAGATATCAACAAAAACTTCAGACAGGACCATTCTGACAGTCCACTTCCACTTTATTATTTATCTCGCCATAGCATTTTCCTCCTAGCTTAACCGTCTTGGTCAGTTTGCACTAATGACGTCACCAAGGATACAATGTGCAAACCTCGAGTTTAGTGACGGGCATAATATCTTTAGTCAGAATTCAAGCGTGGTAAGTTCTAGATATTATAAACTAAACTGTTTCATTATGTTTGAAGAATATTTTAGAGGAAACCAATATGGCTTTATAACACTTTCATTTTTTTGTAAAACAATCCCTCATCCTTTTGAAATGTTCACAACGAAAAATGTCTCGTAACAAATAAGCACAAGACAAACCTCATTTTTACGGTAAATTTTATCGACCATGAACGGCGCCACGAAAAAGCTAGATATGGTCTTGTTTCTTGGTTTTAAAGTAGATTAAGCATTAGAAGTTTTCATATCTTGTTCATTATGTTGGTACAAATGAAATAAGACTTGAGTTATGAAGTATACTCATTTTCATTTGAAAATGAGAGTACATCATAGGAATTAAGTCCGTTTAGTGACCAATAATGGTTTTGGAATGGATTGAATTATCCGATGCTTTCAACAAGAAGTATATAACTTCCAAATCAGAGAATTTACAAAAGGAATCATTGTTAGCTAGTATTTACATAACAATAACTAGGTAATTACGTTCGGTAAATTTTTGGTTTATCATTCCATAATAGAATGATAATGAACATAAATTAGTTAAATCGTCAGTGGTCAATCAGACGAATTACTAACACGAAGTAATCATGCTCAGTTTTGGCCGACACATTCACACTTGAGATGGTGTTTCATATGCTTTGTTAATGTTCAATTAATTCAATAGAACTTCAAATTAGTAAAAAGTAATAAATAGGAAATGCCTGTGTACTGTAAAATAAATCACCAACAGTTAAAACGATGCCAACAAACCTTGTGTTTCAAAGTCAAGAAGTTTATATGACTTTCTATGATCGACTGGATCAGGTCGAACAACTTTAATACCTTCTAATTCAAGCATTTTAACAAAATCTTCAACTTGTTTGCATAACAATTGCCAATGTTCTTTTGGTATAACATCAGCCCAATATTTACCTCCATTTTGAATGTAGAAATTGTGTTTAGCACTTGCAGCACAAGTCTATGTGAAGTAAAAAAAAATAAATATGCACTAACAACTAACATTGAAATGATAGGGGATTTACTATATCTCTAAAAACACATAACATATTATCATTATTACTTAAGAATTCAAAGTATGATGCTTTCCATGCAAATGTAATGGAATCCAACTTATATAGAGAGTTACTAACTGTATATCAATAAAAACAAGTATGTTTTTCGTGAAAATTAGTCTGTAATTGTTTAATTAATTTTAAGAGATTGTTTTTCTTTACCTTTCTTATTTCCAAAGATAATTAGAAATTGTATAAAACTTTATACTAAACTAGAAAAACTTACTTTCACTTCAGGTAACAAATGTGGTACTGTCGCATATTCTGGTGTTCCAACAATGATTTCTTCTAAAGGATCCCATTCATTCCATGAATTTACAGGTGATTTTAATTTATTCTGTTTAAGTTCCACATCAGTTGAATATAAACTTGAAACAGTTTTAATTGGTACTGATGTCACATTTTGTATACATCTAATCTGTTGTTTTTTTAAAAAAAAGAAGATGAAATGAGTAGTACTGAACTGAGATTTTTGCAATTTTTACATATACGGGTCATGTTCTGTGACTGCTAAATATAGTAAGAAAATATTTGTAGAGAGTAAATATCCTTTTCTTTAAACTGATGCATTATATTAGGTAGGTGGTCATTAGATTTTGTATATCAAAATCAATTATTTGAACAGACATTTTTAATAGGTTACTTTGATTAAGGACTGTTGAATATCTTTATCTATCGAGGTCCATCATCTATGAAGAAAATATCGTTACGTCGATTTCGATCTACTTCAACAAATCTCTGTGTAATAAAAGTTTCTGTGCCTGATTCACCTTCTAGATATTTAACTATTGACAATAAGATAATAGATTTAAACGAAATTTTGTTAGTTTCCCGTGCACTACACGTTTTTACGGAAAGAATTTATTTATCGCGAGGAAGGCTTTTTTCCAGAACAGTATACTAGAGAAAGCAACAAATCTAGGGGTAAACGGTTTTTTTTAATCATATAAAAATGGTGGAAAAATAGATAGTAATCAATTCAGAAATGGTTTCTTAGCTTGAAGGTATTGTTGTTATGTATAATACTTACAGTATTCACGATAGTACCATAAAAATATGTTTGTATTTAAGCATTTGACAAACTAGGAACCTATTTAACGAACGCTGTATTGTCGCCTGAAATTGTCCAACCATGTTCTCTCCTTACTCCATAGAGAACTGAATCATAGCCATGCACTCCTTAAGGTTAATTCATTTCTACACAGTAAGTTTGTAACAGTCTCGTAGTTTACATAACCTAATTTGATGTATAGTGTAAACATTACCCAGTAGCCTTACACGAACACTACAATAGGTTTCATAATTCATTGATTTACGTCAGAACATTGATTGGTTCACGTCAAAATAAGTCATATACGAAAGTGGATTTCAGTTCCTCTGAACGATCTATAAGACATTTGTATATTTCAGAATAGTTTTCTTTACTTGTTATCGAATTAAGTAACTAATCAAGGCCATTATGAAAGAACAGAGGTTAATGCTAAGAAATTATTGAAATTATTCACGTTGTTTTTCATAGAACCCATGTAGGTATTGTTCTATTAGAAAAATTGGAAATGTTATCAATTTTCAGCCCCTGTAACAATGCACTCTTAGTTATTTGCAACTAAAATGTCACACTAGCAATGAATATAATTTAGTGAATTTATTTCCCGATTGTTATTTAGTATCCACTAAAATTCAATTTTGTTTGAAGATAACATAATATTAGTATTTCCAGACTACTTTCTTCTTGATAAACGTCAAGTAAGAATCATATAGTCATTTTTAATGTCAAAAAAGACCGCAGACTTTTTTATATGTGATAATTTAATATGAGGTTAAATTCGATATTTATTGTACACACTATATCTTGAAAGCGATCGAGAACACGAGGAGAAATCAGGTAATCATTAAAAATCAGATATTTCGGAATGATGCAGTGAGGATGTGAACTTGATTGGTACTATACGATATTAATAACACAATACATGAAGAGGCAGTATTTTCTTTTTCACTGTTAGTGTGCGGCTTCATAAAAACATGACTTTATAAAGAAGCGATTTAATGAAATCGACCTCATCTGTGTAGATAATACTATTTGAGGCGAGGTGAGACTATTAAGCGAAACACTGATGGAGAATGGATATCCCGTGAAATTCCAAAATCACTGTAAAAGTCATAGTATATTAAGACCTACAATAATTCTGGCATCTGAAAAGCTGGTAATAACACCCTATCATTCATATGAGATTCAAATAACCTTGTTTGGGAAGAGAAATTTGAATCGCAGTTCAAAGTACTATACAGCAAAAAGTTATTATTATTGAAAACGCCAAAATCCGAGAGAGATTCGTATTCACCCCTCGCCATTACTCCATAAACAGTAACATGTGTAAATAAGCAAGTAATACTTCTACTAAACGTAATATTAGTATTCCTGACAATCAAAGTTATCGTTCACATTTTATTTCTGAAATGTTAACCATATCTTAAATCAATCACTCATTAAAGTACGCCTAGCAAATAAATTTGGTGCACAATTTATAGTAATGATTTTGCTAATACAAAAGTCTCCGTCATTTTGAACTATTTCTTCAGTGGCTAAAGATATTCTACACACGTTACATGTGGTTTCTTTTTATTCTAATTAAATATAACATTGTCCTCTAGAATTGCTCTGAAAGTGAACAAACAATCACATTATATATCTGCAATGAAATGGTGAGAATGCTAGAAAAGACCACTATTGACGGCACATGCTTGGCGCTTAAATAAAACATTTCTTGTAAGGATGACACGAACAAAGTGATAACAACTTGACCTTTTGTAAACGACTTATTTTCTTATTACTGATAGATAAAAACTATTAGTAAAGACAGGCTGTAATATCGTTGCCTAAGTCAAATAGAGTTGATATGATCATTTAAAGCCAAGTAAATTTGTTTGCATAAGAAAATATCTTAATTGACTGGAACTAAATGAAGAGATGAGATTTTAAAAATTCCAGTCATAAAGTTTATCTTCAAGTGGAAATGTTAAAAGGTAAATAATTCATTTTAATCTTTATCTAATAAAAGATAACGGGTATAGTGGAGTTTACAGCCTCTCAATTTAGAATTAGTATTAGTTAGTGAAGACATAATCAGTGTAATATTAATGCTGTTTCTAACAATCTTCTATTCCAAATATATACGTTAAAATATGTATGCAGTGGAACTTATTAGTAGAAAATAAGATTACTATAGAAACAGCAACATTATCTAAGTACAGAAACACTCACAGTATCAAATCATTTAAGAGAGCTCGGTCAAGTAATCATGCAAAGAATATTCTAACGACTAAAGAAACCCATTTATTCATTGAAAGAAAGAAGGAAGACATTTCAACGAGGAACAAAAGCATTCTTTTAGACGATATTATTTATTTAGCTGCATAATTGTATTTATAGGTAATTTCTACATATAGGGAGAAATTATGAGTGGACGAACCAATCAGATTCAAGATAGTGAGTCTTGGATTATGGTTCAAAATTCATTTATTATTATGGTCAAATAGCAATTTTACATTATAGCCGATTTCAGTCCATGATGAAAATCCTATCTCTGATTCAGAACCCTAACTTCTAACTTTGAATCACAATATTAATTTACTACCCTCTTTGGACCTAGCTTAAATGTTAGTTGTTCAAAGCGCTCGATGACTCATTTGCATGCTTACGTATACGTACATCTTAATTCCTATCCATTCATCGTGTGCTTATTAGTCGTTTGATCTGTGTTATGCCATAATGATAAAGGTTATCAAAACAACTGTTGTACAAAGTACAGGAAATATTTCGAAGGTATTCCATAACAATCTGATTAACATATTAACGAAATAAAAAATAGCACGAGGTAGTTCAGTTTCAATCTACTGAATGTAAATATTATCCCATATTTTAAGCACATCAAACGTACTGTTAGTTATTCAATAAATATAATGAATGAAATCATATAAAAATAACACTTACAGACTGTTGATAAAATTTACGCAATATAGTTGACGCCATTAAAATGATAGTCAATAGTATTTGAGGCTTTAAATACCAAATAACATTTGGTCATATGTAACCCATGTGTACACACATATACAGACATAAATTAAACATTTTTATGGACATGATTATACAACAACAGATAATGATAAACATTGATTGGCTTAAATAATATTGTCCTGACAATGCTACTATAATCAGAATGAGTTTTGTGGAATTGAAAAACGTCTGTTGTTCGGGTCACGATTGATTTTTTGAAGTGTTCTGAGTTTTATAGGGAAATCGAGAAATATCTTTTATGTACGTTTTAAATGATTGTAGACTTCGAAAAATTGACACTGTTAATAAAATTCCGCAGTAAACCAATCAAATCATGAAATTTGGTCTGAAGTTTCCTACGGGGCGAAATGATGAAGAATAGAATGTAGACAAAATAGTCACAATTTGATCAATGCGCAAGCTTTTTATTCCAGTCTAATTGGTTAGGTTCCATGGAAAATGAATAATTTTCGTTGAACGATTCTCATCATAGTTTGTAAAAGTTGCCTCAGCCAGTTCACATAATTGGAGAAGTAAAATTTTTAAGTAACCAAACTTATTAATGAATGAAGACGATTAATCATATTTAGCTTCTATCCACAAACAGACAGAATACTAGTGTTTGCTAGCAATTCAACAACGAAAGTGTTGATTATCAAAGAAGAATGAGGTTTGAAACAAGTCAATGCTAAACGCTTGTTAAAACACGTTTCATAGTTAATCCTGTGTATTATGGGAATAAAACTCACTTGATGTGGAAAGTCAACAAAATGTGGACATCAGTACATTAAAATTATTAAGAATTTGGCGAATAAATTTGATTAGTTACTTACGCCTGTTATCTATTATGGAGGAGTATAGGCACTTACCAGCATTCTCAAACCATATCTGTTCAGGGAAATATTTCTCACTTGTTTCCAATTGCTATTCATCCTTTTTATGTCTGCTTACAATTCTCGACACAATGTGTTCTTTGGTCTTCTTCTTCTTTAGTTTTTTCCGTCTTCCTTCAGGATACCAAGATGACGCTTGCGTCGTGATGCAGTTTGATGATTTCCTAAATGTATGTCCTATACACTTCCAACAACTTTTCCTAATTTCTTCTTCAACTAGAAGCTGAATTGTTCTCTCTCACAGTAAGCTATTGTCGAATGCACATAAATTTGAATATCTCATTATTCTAACTCCTTTCTCCCATTCAATTGATCTCGTCTCATGATATCTTCATATCCCGTGTTGTCCATTATGACTTTGGTGTTTACGTCTCACGTCAGGATGGTTTGATCACTTCTCTACAATCGATTACAGTCTCTCATAAAACTGATCCTTGTCGTCTTCATTTCTATCATTGGTGGGTGCATAGCACTGGATAACACTCATTGTCATTCCATACTCCTTTCTTCGAATGACGTTTTCATGGTTTTCGATCCATGAGGTTCCCATCCAATAAGTGCATTTCGTGCTTCTTTAGACATTATCAGTGAAGCTCACTATGTGTAAGGCATTTTCTTCTTCGTGATCAGAGTTCAAAAGCACCTCTTTGGAATCTAACGTTTTCTGTTCAGCTTTCTTCTAATGGTTTTAACTTGTTCTGAGAACCGTCAAGTTGCATCTCCTCATTTTCTGATCTGTTCGATTGGTCGTTCCGGTCTCCTACATTGTCCGGACATTCCACGTACCTATATTAATTGTTGCTCTGGTTGTTAGAAGGGGCATTGGCCTCGTGACTTCCGAAGAATCTTGGCTTTTACTATGATTCGTCATAATTCTTTTGAATGAAGACCGTTTAACTAGGAGGACAGAGTTTAAAGTGTTTGTTCTGGTTAGGATTTTTTTAGCAAAATTGTTTTCTACGAGATGGGGTTGCCTACCCCATTCTTTTATCTGTTTTGGGTCCGGCAGTAACCCTAGAAGAGCTACAAGAGGAGTTGAATGAACTGGATGCCGATGTAATAATCTCATATGACAAGATCCAATGATAAATTAAAACCAAGCAAGAACAACAACGTTCATTCATTTTATTTCACGGTTTCTCATTAGCAACATATAACCCGAAATTGCAATTAACAAATGTCTTTGATATAGTCTAGTTTTTGAAGTCTAGGTAAAATTTTGAAACGTGACCGAAATCATAACAATTAAAAGATGAGGATACAAAATGTATGTATAAACTTATTTAAGAGCACTGTGTGTATATATGTTCGAAAGTAATAATGCAAAATAGAGTAATCCAATGTAGTTGGGCAATCGCTCATCATGATAATACCATAATGACGTAATAATCGTTTAGCTAATTATTTAAGTAAAAGTATAGGTGTAGCGAATAGTAGGATAGTGTGTTGCAATTTCGCTTTAAATGAAACGAGGATGCGTACATTGTTTACTTGTACAAATAGTTCACCCAATCCACAGTGTCTCATATTCTTACTCTATACAAAAGCGACATCTGAAGATGTTTAAACAAGTGTTCAGTATAGACTGTGTCTGCGAATCTTCAGAGACGAATTTCGCATCTATTATCATTGAATATCGAGGGATATATTCTTATATGACTGAAATTTCTAAAACGTGAATACTTTAACTCAATATAATATTATTAATTTCAATAATTGAGATCATGAGTCAATTGAAGTTAGACCATGCTGATACACACAGTTCTATGATTATACACTCATTCATCGTAAACGAAATGCGGTTAGATGCCTCACAAGCAGAGCAATAAAGATCTGGTCGACTGATATCATAAAGAAGGAGTTGGAGTTTCTTCATAAAATACTGATTGAGATAGGCTACCCGAGATTTTAGAGAAGTTCATGTATGAGGGTAAAAAATAAGTCGGAGATATTGACTAGTTATGTGAAGCTTCTTCCAAAACGACAGTTAAACGGGGGTTTGGCTAGCGAATATCCTGCATGATAGATTAGCGACGGCAGTTAGTAGGAAATTCTACGCATCTAATTTTGCATTGATGTTTTCTAGCAGACCAGTGATATGTACTCAAACAAAGGACAAGTTACCTGAGTTTACCTCTTTGATGTGTATCTACGAATTCAGCTGCTCCTGCAGAGATACCTATAGTGGGCGTACTACCAAGTCACTTTACTAAGGAATGAGTGAACATCCCCAGCTTGGTTTGAAAATGGTCACGCAGCCCTATCTTGGGACACCTATTTGAAGTATTCATTTAGATTAATTTTTTTACTGGTTGTTTGAATATTCTCATTGATGTTTAAAACTGCAATTGATCATTATCTTATTGAAATATGTTCACCATGTGCAGATTGCCTCGATATTACCTTCAGTCACAAGCATTATTGGTAGAGATGATGGTAACTAGTAGTGGAAGCCAGGACACGCGTTTCGGCCTATTTGGGACTCGACAGATGGCTGTACCCGCAACCTAGAGTTCATGACGGATGATATGCAACGCAAACTTATGAAAAGCAACCAGATAACAATGAGATCAAACATTAAAAGTTTATTTTTGTAATGCAACAGAATGTAAGCGATTGTTTCACATCCCATTAAAACTAGAACTTTTGTTATTTTATTATTTTTATCACTACTACTAGTACATCTATTTTCTTACTATCAACTCGTACTGTTTACTTATTATGAAATTATGGTATACAATCTATTTCATTGTGATAGGATAAAAATAAAGAGAATTCAGAGAAGAAAATTCTCCTCTCGATTATGAGCAATTCAAAACAACTACTGTAGATCGTCTAAATGATGCGTAGGATAATACCTAAAACTAGACGATTACTCACAAAAGAACATAAATCTCATTTATTTGGTTTTCTAAGAAATCGGGATTTTGTGTTGGGTCATCCAGATAAGGAAGCAAGTACTGTCCTTTTGGATTTTCTCAACTACGTTATTAAACTATCCTCGATATTATCGGATGCTGATAAATTGTCTAAAGAAATAATTCAAAAAGACGCAACTAAAGAAAAAAGGATCAGATGTTAATTAAAATCATAAGAATGATAAAAGATGAGTCTATTATCAGTTGTGACCTACATGAATATCTTGGACCGTCGGAATGCATTATACTAAAACTATAAAGACTCCTAAAAGTTCATACTTCCAAAACGTTATATGAATAACTCTTCGTATCATTTGATTGTTAAATGGTTAGCTGAAATTCTACGACTTATCGGAAATGTATACGTTATTCTTCTAAACGATGTATTTTGCTTTAAACCTAACCACTTTTTGGGTTATTAATTTGGATATATAATTGTAGAATCAGAATAGAATATATTAAAGTGAATAATAATGATCGTTATCAATCATGTAGACAAGGGATTAAGTTTTTCCAGTCATATGTAGACATTTTTAGATTATTCCTCTAAGAATAAATTTGACTATGGCTCAAATGTCGATTGAGTGACTAGACATTACAAATGAGATAAAAAATAACAGATGACATTTATAACTGGTTATTTGCTAACTATTGGACAGAGGAAAAATGTACGATGCCAAATGGTATAATATAGGATAAGAATTGTGAATACACTGTACATGCAAATAGGTTGGACAAAACTGGCAAATTCACTCTTAACACACACAGGTTTATCATTGTCATAGTTATTAGTTTACATGAAAATAAATTGACCTAATAAATAAAACAAGTGAGAATTATTACTTTCCTAAAATTTGAGTAGTGTCTCTTACCTACCGCACTCAAGCCAGGTACAACTGAACAATAAAAAGAATCACAACGTTTCAGTGATGAAAATCATCTATCCAATAATGTCAAATTTGAAGCTACGCCTACGTGATTTATTCTTATCCGTCAATACATATATTATTATAATCATCTTATTTGTCCCATCACCCTTATGTTTGACCTTGTCAATTGCCCACTTGTAACCTTGAGGACGTTTTATTTCTGTATGTATGCTGGTGCGCATGTGTCTAAATGTTAACTTGTATCGGTCTCATGCTTGTAAATACTGATCACCATTTGCATCGCGCATCGTCTGTCTGAATAATGTTGTCTGAAATAAATTCTTTCAACTTAATTAGTATTTGATTTTTTAATTATCTCCGTCATCCAAACGAGGTTATCCTAAGTAGAGTTTACGAAATCAAACGGAGAATTTACGTTAATAACTCATTCATCACTTGTTCTTTATGAAGTCTGGCCATAAAAAAAACAATAAGGGATGGAGATTTTTTGTACACAGGCATGTGGTTTGAATTGATGAGTTACTATACCTTCAGCTGTGGATAAGATCAATGAAACTAGTAAGTGACTCAGGGAGACAGTTTGTCTTAAGGCGAGTAATTTCCCGGGAAAATACAATTAGCAGATTAGCGTTGAGCTCACTGTGGTGACAAAATGTAATATGCATGTTTAATTACTGTCTGTGAGAGAAATATACTTAGTTGTTAATTAACTCTAATTCGTAATCGTTGTCTTGAAATGGTTTTTACAAAATAATTCGATATTTTTAGTCAGTAAATTAGGCAACATTACTATACATATTCATATCACACAATTTGGTCCTTACGTCGATGTGATCCAACTTATTGATTAAGATTATCAAATATTTTATCATCATTTTTTAAAAATAAT